TTTGCACCCTTATATACGGAAAATCAAATATTTAACCGTGAAAAAACAAAATAAATAGTTTGCGCGTTTAATATTAATAAAACTTAAGTATGACACATCTTTATGCAAAATTTTTTTTTATTTAATGGTTTATCATTACTTACTGCTATGCAAAATAGGTCAAAAACCAGAATGTAGAAACTACCAACTATGAACACAATGCTCTACAATATTATGTTAAAATAGACTCAAGAGCTTTWAGTACTATAAAGTCACAACAATGACACAGACATTGGCTCCAACTTGATATAAATAACAGTACCTAGTATTCAGTATTTATATATTCACATTTTTAGAAAAAAATATTCTGCATTGGAGTACAATTAAGAATAAAAATCATAGAACACAAAATAAAAATAAACTCAATTGAAATAWCAAAAAAGTAAGTAGATATATGTATGGTTTTAATTATATAAATTAACTAATTTTCTGTAGCAGATTAATTATTCTATTTTCCTGGTAATGMATTTATTCCAACAATTTTGTAAACAAAAAATAATAATTGAATTGTTTAATTTTAAATGTATAAGTATATTACTCACCTTTCTCAAATGCAGCTTTAATTGTGGCTTCATTAGTTGAGAATGACCTTCGGATCTTGGAAACACTATTTTTGCGAAACCCGTAATCAAAGAGTGTAGTTTTCTTGTGTGATACAGGAGCAGTTAAAGAAGTATTTCCAGTGTCTAATCTAGGAGAATCAAATGACATTGAAAGATCAACATTAGGCTTCAACCTTTTAGATACAATTGATTTTTCAGAGGGACATTCGAATTCATTAAACAATTTACGTTTCTTCACAACAACATCAGTGTTTTTAGTTTCTTCAAAAACCAAATCCTATTTATAAAAAAATACAATGAGAAATTGAAAAATATATATATATATATATATGTATATATATTATGAAATAATTCCTTACAATTTTCCGAGGTGTCTCTGAATCGTATTTAGAATTTCTTCGTCTAACGATAGGTTTAATTATTGGCGATTGCAAAGCAAAAATATCTCCATCAATTAAAGTATTAAATTCAACCGGTAGTGAATCTTGAGACTTCAACCATCAATAATAATTAAATTATAGAATTAAAATATAATGTATTATAATTTAATATTTACCAATCTTGCTGGAGAATTAACGTTGTCTAGAAATGGATCATCTACATCTGGGATTCCTTTGTGACAAATAATTGTATCCGATCGGGAAATATTTAATGAYRAATTTTTCTTTTCAATCGCAGTTTTGGGTTCAAATCTTCATGCACAATAAAATATTTTTTCAGTTAGAAATAAAAAAAAAAATTACTGATTTTTGGAAAATACCTGGTTAATGACCTGGAATCTTCAGAAAGCACCGAAWAAAAACCACTGTCTTGTGAATTAGGATCATGATCTTCTAATGGGAGACGACCTCTTGCATTACGATTGTGCATCAAGAACTACAAAATAATACAACATCATAACTATTAATTAATAATTAAGAGAAAAAATATTATTTCATAAAGAATTTTATTCAAATTKAATTGATTATAATAAATTACTACTTACTAGTTAGGTAGATACTACAAATAATTTATTAAAATAAGTTTAAATAATTATAAAAAATTAAATTACTGTTGGACTTGATTGAGATGGTGATAAAATTGATTTAGAGACCATCGTATCCATACAATTAGTTGAGTTTTCTTTCTCAACTGGACTATTCATCATTTTTTGAAGCATCAAACATTTTAATGTTGGACTATCGTTAACATTTTTTGAACTTCCTTTGAATAATCTATAATAATATAATATACAGTTGATTAAAAAGAATACTAAGTCATAAAAACATCTATTCACATATTATTTACCTGGCATTTGATGAGCTGTTGAAATCGTGATCTATAGTTTTCGTTTATTTAAATGAAAATAGAAAATCATTTTAATTAATTAAATTATACAACAATATAATTATTTTAACACACACACAGTGATTATTTTAATACAAAACATTGAAAAGTCCATACCTCTTAGTATATCTCAATAATTGAAAAATAGTAATAAATGACCACAATATATTTTTATATCAAGCATTCAAGTGAATATTTATCCAAAACAAAAAATTAGAGAGAAAGGTAAACATGGATGAATATAATTTAATATTAATGAATGTAATATTAAATATGGAATTTAAAAGAAAAATCAATTTTTGATATTACTAAGTAGATGAGGATATATTGAAACATTTTGAAATTTAAACAAATTATGGCTGTAGTGCATACAACATTAATTACGACATAGATATTAACCATGTGTTCATGTATTAGGTATGTATATAATTTGGTAAAAAAGAATCAAATAATTAGAATTAGATATGATATTGATCAATATTTAATTAAAAATTCATATAATATAATGGTTTGAAATATTTTAAATAGYGTTTAAATTTACCATGGAGTATGTTATCATAACATTTTTTTGGAGTATCGCTGGGTTCAGATAATGTTAGTTTGCGTCTGACTGTTAGTGATGTTCCTAGACAATTAGCTAAATTTGTCATTGGTGATGGAACTTCTTGGATTGTCCTATCATTGAATGAACTCATTTTAACAATTTATTTACTGRCTTTAATGTATTGAGTATTAAAACTGTGAAAAAAACAATAAATTTAATTATTTCATAATGATTAAGTAGAAACACAAGCATCTATTACAATATGTAATTACTTTGGTAATCACCTACTTACCTAGGTACTTAACAAATTAAGTAAATKAATATAATTTGGCTAATGACTACTACCTACATATTGTTAATTATGATTTAATTAAATGGTACCTTCTTTGAGAAAACACATACAAATTTAATGGGTTTAATCCAAGAATCAAGATGCAAATAAAATTAATATTGAATTTAAATTTAGTTTACTTATGGTACCAGGGTAATGTGTAGTAGTTACTAGTTCCACAGCTGTGTGATATTTTGTAAATCAGATTAGCTCATACAATCAACTATGTAGGCTTATCAGCCAGTGTTGTGAACAACAAAAATCAAAAAAATGAACTAAAAGCTAGGCAAGCCATCAAACTGTGAATTGGTTTGGATAAGTTGTAGGTACACTTCTTAAACTATTGTGGATGGAAACAGTTATCGAGAGTTATCGGCACTAACAGTGGAAGTGTACGCCAGACATGAGAGACATAACAAAAAAAAAGTGAGCAAAACATTAGAAACAAAATAAAGAGTGCTGACGACCAATGGAATATTGTCTTTGACGTGTAGGTATTATTGAGATGTACCAAGTTAYAGTTGTGCTGGTCGTCGTCGTTTTGGTTTTTACCAAAAACATCATATTYAATTCGGATGCAAACGGGACAAGCAGAAACGGTACATTCCCGGTTCGCACAGACTAGATAACTGTATGACGTATGTGCATAGTGCAGTTGTTGTCGTTCGAATTATTTACTCACTGTTTACAACGTCAACTGCTGCTACTGCTACACAAGTCGATGACCTGCGAACGACACATCGTTTCTAGTCCGCGACAACAACCGTCGGTGAATTCAGTCGTCGCCGTTGCTTACGATTCTCACGGGTGGTGCAGGTGGAGCCGTAAAAACGATAGCGAGGRAAATTAAAAAGTGAAAATTACTGTAACGACGAATGAACTCGGTACCGAACGGCCGCCGTCGGGCGATACAGTGTTATATTATTGTGATATTTTAACAACAACAATAATATTACAACGACAACGCTCGGGCTGGTCCATTTCGGTTGTTTTCTTTTTCAAAAAGTTTAACGGGCGACGTGGCTACGGCGGCGGCTGAGGTGGTGGCGGTGGTGGTGGTAGCTGCTGTGCCTCGGGCCTATGATCACCATCAGTATGAACCGGTAGTCCGAGTCCGACGGAATCGGTTACGGGCCGCGGCCACCAGGCAGCGTGCCGGTCGCCGTCGGCGGGGACGACCGACCGTATGTCGTCGTGTCGTCACGGGCTCGCTCACAGAGGTCTGGGTCGGCGGCGGGCGGGGGAGAGCGCACAAAGACCGTACTGCTCGGTTCGCGCTTTTCCGCTGCCGCCTGCCGCTGCCGGTTCGACAACCCCTAGCTGCGACGGACCGTGGACGCGTACCTACTACTCGGCTATTATCATTATTATTATTATTGTAGAATTTTATGCGTTTCGCAATAGCGCGCGTGCTGCCAATCCGTTACCGCGTTGATGGTATAGCACGCAGAACACAATACACGGGGAATTAGGGACCCACCGTGATGTGGCAAGTGACGTTTTTTTATACTTTCGCCCAATCACCCGCACGCCGCTACAACACTGGATTATAATAATATAATATTACACGGCCTCGTCGTCGTAGCAGCCAAGCACACTCGCGTCACCGTTTAAAGGGGTGCATACACATAGGGGGTTAAGAGTGCAGTCAGGCCCGAAAATCTACGCATTAGGATTTGGGGGTGCCAAAATTATGGACATTATACGTCCTGTGTATATAATGCTTCGTGCCGAGATTTTGTTCGTGGCACACAAAACTTCTATAACGATAATATTGCAGCGAATTGAAGTCGCTATGTAGTGCCTCTACTGACTATAGGTGTATAAAGATTAGAACATGCCTATACAAGGTCAACTCTTAGACAACACGATTTAGAATTATAATATTATATATAGTCGAGTTGAAAACAAAATAAAAATGTCGAGAATGACGCAACGGTGAACTACACATGATAAGCTATAGATTACCAAAAATGCCAGAATATAGTTTAAAATCAATAATCTGTTCAGATAGGAATTTTGGGAGTACTATGGTTTGGACTTCTGAAGTAGTTCTGAGAAAGATTACAGAAATCCAACCGGGATACGCGTGTAATCGTTATTKAAAGTATACACATTATAAATAGGCATGACGATGAGAAATTATTTTTCAATTTACCACGTACCTGATACATGTTATGATCACATAAAAATATAAAATCTACTATGAAATTGTGGAAAAATTCAACATTAAGTAAAATCCATGGACAATAAATTCACCGAAAATAATTAAATATAAATATAAATATTTTCATTATTTTATAATTTTATAATTATAATTAATGATGATGTTAAATTCAATTTTGATACCTAGTTGATGTTTTCCTGGTATACATTTAATAAGCATGAGTAATTAAATGTAATAAAATATATAAGTTTGAAAAATCAAGTATAACATAATATTATAATTCATAATTATAATTCTCCACTTAATCGACTTTAAATTGAAATTATAATATGATCATTACATTTCATTTGTTTCTTTTTCATTGATCAGGTTTAACGCTTGTAATAATAATAGTTAAGATACAAGTGGAATTGTGGAGTGGATACGTATACCAATGAACTACTTATCAATAAATTGCATTTTTGTTAAGTACCCAACTGTTGATAATTGATAATTATTTAGATATTTAATTTAATTTACATTGTTCTGTACGCTTACCAATATAATTTAAGTACCTAAACTATACTTTGTTTAAACAGTAAAAATGCTGGGTAAATGGGTAATATTGACAAATAGGTATTTTAGTATTTAAAAATATTTAGCTCCATTAGAATTTTTCGAGTTATCATCAACGAAATATTTTWAAAATATAAAATAGTACAATAATTGCAGTGTGGCAATGGCTTGGACTATTTCCCTCGGTGCGTTTATTTTTCTGAGTCTTTTTCCATCCACCCATACTATATGTCCGTCATAAAATTTAACCTATTRTATAGGTTAAGGGTTTTATTTATATAGTATATGTATATTCCATATTATTACCTTATTTTAGTCATTTCCAGATGTCACCGCGTATAATCGCAGGTCTGACATATTAATATATAGTTCGATATATTGACCGTCCTGGTTAATTCTTTGCTATATGACCGATTATAAGCGTACAGGTTTATGTAGTGTACTGAGTTCACTGCAATAATTTCTGTATGATTTATCTGTGTAAATTCACCACTAAAAATTTTCRCAATCACAGATGATAATTATTTGAATAGAGTAACAATACTTGCAGTATATAAATGTGCACGAAACCGATAATCGAATAACCCATGAATAATTAAGTAGGTATAATTTTTGATATAGTTTTTTTCATGCTGATACGCATAAATAAATGACTATATTATGTATAATACTATAATAGTATGTAAATTATGCATCAAGCGATCTTAATTATTTTAACAACATAAGTAGGGAATACTTAAAATATTGTAATGGGCCATATATATATATATATATATATATATATATGCTCGTTGGACTTCTGTTATCATAAGCATACAAAATAATGAGTAATGAATAACATTACGACGCTTGTCGATTATACAGAGACAATAGTAATCATTTCGTACAAACAATAACAACAACAATAAAATAATTTACGTTTAGTAAACCACATGAAATACGTGTTACATATTATACACATCGTATGCATGAAATGAATTACATTAATCCGCGATTGGCGCGATTATTGAAACCGTTTCCATGATAATATGATACAATAATATGTGCTTACCGATATAGCACTCATCTGCAGTGATCTTATAATTATTAATTTCTAACTTTTAAAATGTTATGTCCAGATGTGTGTTTTCACTGTATATAATAATCGTAGACAAACTCGACGTACAATAAAAAAAAAACTCGTCATTGCGTGGGTCGATCATAAGCAATAATATGTGGTTCCATTTTTAACGAGTAACAGCACTCGAAAGCAGTATTATATATATATATATATATATATATATTATATGTATTATACTGTTATGTATACATTATGTTAATATGTTATGTCGTTATGTGTGTATGCTGTATATACGATATGATATCGGATGTTTCACGTATGTAGTACTATATATATATATATATAAGTATATAACTCACCTCCTATATGTGGTTCATTACGAACAGTTTTCTACACAACGCGCGCTTAATCGGACGATTTCAGGACTCGGCATCCGATTACCTTACCATACCCACAATCCATCACACTCATAACGCATATAATATTATATTATATTTCATAAGTGCCTAATATTATTATATACACATTATGTGTGGGTTAGACCCTAGCGGGGCCCACCCAGCATAAAATAGTTACATTCAACGCACTGCTATATATAATATAGGATGCGAGGCGCATGCGCATTATTTCTATATGATGATTTTCAAACGGATCGTCACGAAAAATACGTTAAGACGCGCTTGTTGTACATAATAGCTGCCGTACCTGCAGCATACTCCGAGCAGTATAATAGCAGTGTAGCATTGCGGCGGAGATCGTGGGCGTACGTATAAATGAAATACGTATTTTACGATCAGGTCAGAGTCGGAATTTCGAGAGAGAAAAAAAAGCATAATAATTTATAAATGGGATATAGCCGGTATAGGTAGTACGTGACAATAATACACGTATAGAATTATATACGCATACTATGTATCGTTGTCGAGATCCAAAAAAAGGCCGACGATATATATTTATGTATATACGTCGTTCGGAACTCTCCGCGTACACTATATACGTAGTGTTATAATATAATAATAGATGTGTTAAGTATATATGTGTATGGAACGCTGACGATTTATACGACAACGTACAATGTACAATGTTGAATATACATACTAGTATACTACATAGTATATATGTATATAATAGGTATATAATACACAACATTATATTATAATCTGAAATATTTTATTGGCGTGCGAGGCGACTGTGCGCGTAGAATATAGGTAACAAGCTTTGGGGGAGGTCGTCAAAAAGAAACCGTTTTTTTTTTTTTTGAAAAATTTTCCCCGAACCACATATGGACCTTAAAATCACGCATATATATATATATATATATTAATATAGGTATTATTTCGGATGCGTCTTGGCCTCGAGGGTGAACGGGAGCG